GTAAGGAGTCTATTTCCAGGATAAAGGAGATTATTTCTCAGACTGTAGAGATTATTCACGAGAATGCTGACATTATTCACAAGTGCCTGACAGTCAGTCACGTAAAAACGTGAAAATCATTCACGAGAATGTTGACATTATTCACAAATACATGACAATCAGTCACGGAAAAAACGCGATCACTGAGGAAAATGCAGACAGCTTGTTCTCGTCTCAGGAATGTGAGAGTGTGAGCACCAGTGTTTTAAATCAGGACTGTCTGGTCCTTCAAGCGTCACTTGGTATTCACAGCGCGATGACCTCGTCAAACTGCCTCCGCCTTACTCCAACATACCCTCGTTAAATCCTAGTAGCCACCTCACCAAAGCTTTGATCTGACGAAGAGAAGCTTGGCCTCAATTATCCAGCTCAAAAGCCTTTCACCACTATCAGCATACTGTACTAAAGGATCAGTAATACAGAGAAGCGAAAGGGGATACAAGAGAAAGTGGAAGAAATGCGGAGCACACGAAAACGAAAGAAAACGAGGAAATAGACAGAGAAGCTAGTGACGACGAAGGAAAACAAAGAGTTGAGAAACGATAAAGCATCAAACGACATAACACAACTGAGGTTACTCCACAGCCACATAAAAAGGAAGATGATTCAGAAAGATGAAGCAATAAGCACTAAGAAGAAAGGGAAATGGTTGCTGAAGGAGGCTGAAAGAAGCATGCGAAGAGCTTACCTGGAGCCTGGAGTGCCAGGAGCCGAGACTCAATACCTGCAACCACCACTCGGTTACCTGGAGGTTACCTGGAGGTTATTCCGGGGATCAACGCCCCCGCGGCCCGGTCCATGACCAGGCCTCCCGATGGATCAGGGCCTGATCAACTAGGCTGTTACTGCTGGCCGCACGCAGTCCGACGTACGAGCCACAGCCCGGCTGATCCGGCACTGACTTTAGGTATCTGTCCAGCTCTCTCTTGAAGGCAGCCAGGGGTTTATTGGCAATTCCCCTAATGCTTGATGGGAGGCTGTTGAACATTTTGGGCCCCGGAAACTTATGGTGTTTTCTCTTAGTGTACCAATGGCGCCCCTACTTTTTATTGGCGGCATTTTGCATCGCCTGCCCAGTCTTTTACTTTCGTAGGGAGTGATTTCTGTGTGCAGATTTGGGACCATTCCTTCCAAGATTTTCCAAGTGTAGATTATGATATATCTCTCCCTCCTGCGTTCCAACGAGTACAAGTCAAGTGCTTCCAAGCGTTCCCAGTAGTTAAGGTGCTTGACAGAACTTATACGTGCAGTTTAACTTATTGATAAAACTCGGTGAGTACGTGTTCTAACTCATCCACTTCACACCCAGGCACTCACAGCACCTTATTACGCCACATCCTCCTTCTCTTCCTCTTTCCCTCCCTTCCGTCACTCCCTCCCTCCATCTCTCCCTCAGGGACGTCTCACCTCACTGGCTCAACACCAGCATCCTTCTCACCGTTCTAAGAGCGTGGATAACTTTCAGAGGAGAAATTCACCGTTGTCCCCAATCCTTTGGATCAAAAGTCAACCATCAGCATCAACACACCCCTCCCCCCATTAAAGCATTGTTTTAGTTATGAATGTAATCTTGGTATCTACAGTCTTACCCTGGAGATGATATCACTGATGCTGCCTCTCTCACAGCATGAGTGGCACTGCCCAGTACTTCCATCCTTCACGTATCAGTAAACATGGACTTGTTTATGTGTTAAACGACTGTTGTTTGTATCATTCTTGGGTCATTTTACGACCAAACCTGAGGGAGAGAAATATTCTGTGTTCTCTCGTTCTATGAGAACAGAGTTAGAAATTTGTTCACGTTAGACGATGTAAATTAAAATGTTTGTATTGGTGGGAAGGGTTCCGTCCGTGGTGGCACTGAGTAGAAAGTGTGAGGAAATCGCCGTCCGTGGTGGCACTGAGTAGAAAGTGTGAGGAAAGCGCCGTCCGTGGTGGCACTGAGTAGGGAGTGTGAGGAAAGTGCCGTCCTTGGTGGCACTGAGTGAGGGGTGTGTCATCCTCTTCCACAATAGAGAAGGTATCAGATTAAGTGGATATTGTTGTTCAAGAGCACTCGCTGCTACTGGCATGAGAATGTGTCTACCTGTAAGAGTACGTCTGCTTGTAGAAGAACGTCTGTTTGTAGGAGTATATCTTCTTATAAGACTATGTCCACTTGTAAAAGTATGACTGCGTGTAGGAGTATATCTGGTTGTAGGAGTATGATCTGCTTGCAATAGTACCGGCTGTACATTCTCACTGTGCCGGGAATATAAGCAAAGATTGTAATTTAGTCGCAACAAGATCCCTAGAATGCTACTAGCAACAGTTGACTGACGCCATGGAACGCCTCAACCTACCTAGAACGGGACCCATAACAATCGACTAACTCCTAGTTATCTATTTATCTATTTAGTTAAAGAAGGGTAGCGAGTATAAGGAGACTCGGCCCAACATTTTGCGCTGTGAACCGAGAATTTTACCCCTGAACTGCGAGTCAGTCTTAAACTCCGTAACAAAAACCACTGAAAACAGTGTTTTATGATATATAAAAAACTGTGCGAGGGTGGACCTGTGAGCCAGGACACGTCCTCGGTCCACTTGACGGGTTATCATAAGACCTAACACCCTGGTCAGGAGACCGATAAGCCTAGGGAAGACATAAGTCATCTGACCAAGAGGTTGACTAAGTGGGTGATCAACAGCGATTAAGAATCATTTCCACGTGAATAATAATAATAATAATAATAATAATAATAATAATAATAATAATAATAATAATAATAATAATAATAATAATAATAATAATAAACTTACACTAAGTAGTGAATATCCCTCAGCGTATATACTCCGAGGAGTATAGTAGAGCATTTTTGACTGGTGGTGTACAGATGCATCCTTCATGACTGGTGCAGTCGACAGGCTTCAAACTTCACACATACAGTAACCTAGCTTCCGAGGCCCGGGTCCCGCGTCCGTCCTGTGGTAATGATTTGCTTCCTTCCCCCCCTCCATCACCCCTCCCTCCATCACCCCTCCCTCCATCACCCCTCCCTCCGTCACCCCTCCCTCCCTCCCTCACACCAGTCCATCACCTCTCCTGTCTCACACTAGTGCATCACCCCTCCTGCCTCACATTAGTGCAGCACCCCTCCTGTCTCACACTAGTCCAACACCCCTCCTGTCTCACACTAGTGCATCACCCCTCCCCTCCAGGTACTACGACATCCTCCCTCCCTCCTTCCCACTAGTCCATCACCTTGAGTCCCTCACACTGGTGTGAGGGACAAATCCCGGGATTTAAAATGAGTTGACATTGAATAAGAACTCTTAGCCTGTAAACGAGATGAGGTAAAAATATCTGAATCTAGCCTACTGAAGTAGGCTAGCAATTCCTAGCCTGTAAATAACCTGAGATAGAATAATAGATCCTGTCTTGTATATTCAACTGAAATTAATAAATCTGTATAACTATGATTGAGAAGCAGACATACCACAGACTGCAGTGGTACCAACGGTCCCACTCCCACCTATAAGAAGGAAATTAAATCTACATCTGAATCTCACGACTGACTATAAAATCACCTCACGGCTTTCCAAAAATCCGCTCACAACTGTACAAAAATCCTCTCAAAACTTTACAAATGTCAAGACTAATGTTTTTGTTGACAATGGGCACTTCGCTAGGTACTTGCCAAGACACTGCTAGTCTGGTCTCTGGCAAGCATCCACCTGGACACATTCCTCTAGCAAACTGTCTTCCAATTTTAACAGCGTGCGTGGGAATCACGACGCTATAATAAGCGACGTCGCGTCGCTTGCTGTCGGACGCAAGCCGCCTCGTCTACATGTTATTTCATTACTGCTGGTAAACAGTCCTCTATTAGTGGTCAATTTACGTTAATCTAACATAAAATGGGAAAATATCCGAGTTTCTACTTTATAGATTGGACAGAAATTCGTAAACCGCAGTGTAAATACGCTCGCCTTATTTGAAGGAGAAATTTTCTCGACTAAACTATTTGGGTCACAATAAAAAGGGAAAGATTTAGGTGATATTGCTGGTTCATCATTAAACTAGGTGATGTGGAGAGATCACAGCACAACTAAATATAGATCTTTCGTGCCTCGTATGAAATATTACACGTAAATAAACATCATATCATGAAGAACTGTATAAACAAGACTGGAATGATTATTTATCAGTGTTATCAGCGGCGTTTATTCTGAATGTGAATGAAGTTATTCAACTTTGGTATTCTCGTGACAAACAAAATACTTCCGAGATCCTTTACTGTTGATAGTTTATATACATAGAAGTGTGTATCGCTCAATGTATATACACTATGAGTTTATTTTAAACCCTGTTTTAAAGATTAAGGTATTTTTGGTCGGTAGTGTAGGGGATAACTCGTGTGATGGCCCACATGCATTCGATAGAGTTTTAAGCTTGACAAACAACCCAACCAACCTTCTGGGTGTATCGGACTGTCATTTACACAGATACTGGAAATGTAACGCATAGAGAAAAACTGTGATCATGAAGTCAGCGCGCAAGAACTGTGATCAAAACAGCAAAAACGTTTTCTGGCGAGAAACCAAAACAGGCGACCCAGCAGTCACTTCTGTCGTGGTCCGCTATACTACCAACACTACTGAACTGGTCATCATAGGACATAGGACACTATCAAGGTTATTTTTACCCTGACGATTAAACTAACAACAACAATAAACACACATTGCTGGCTAAAACTATGGCTACAAAAGAATGGATCCTTGTCAACAACTCGACTATGCCAAGTTGTCTATGCCAAGTTGTCTATGCCAAGTTGCAGATCCGAACGCATTCGGATCTGCAACTTGGCATAGACAAGCAAGCAGATACGAAATCCTGACACTACACAAAGTGCTGACAGAAGTAAACATATACCACGCTAGGCTGAGCACCCAGCCCGTGAGAAAGTAGGCATCACAGGTACCTTAATGGGAAAGATGCCAACGCTGCGAAGGTCAGGTCAAGTTGTGAAGAATGACAGAAGGCACGCACAGTCCACTAGGACACAGTGGGACACTTAATGAACTGGTCCAATTCTCAGATGATTAACACAGAGGGAGCTCTTAACAGAAGCTGTTGTTCGGAAGCCTCCCCGATTGTAATAACATACACAGTCATCCAAGAAGCAGCAAGTTACAACATCGCCACCACTCTAGCACACGATCGTTGATCAAGCATCTTCCTACCTAACACTGGATGTTGCAGCTAGGTGAAGCATCACTATACCTCGCTTCTACTAGGAGGTTCTTCTCACTACATAAGGATATATCTTCTTACCCTGGAGATAAACAGTATAAAATACCAACACGATGGAAAAATAAATACAAATGCAGAATAATGCGATCCTTTATTGAATACGTTCAAGGCAGTTCTTGTATGTCTCGTGCAAGATCTACAGGTCCCATGCAGGTCCATCTCAAATATAACCTACCCAACATTCTCCACCTGACTCTCCACCTTATTTATACTCAAGTATACTCCTTACCCAGGTAGATCTGTTTGTGACTTGATAAAGCCCACTGTGTGGGCGAAGCGTAATAATAAAGGATCGCATTATACTGCATTTGTGTTGATTTTTCCATCTTGCCCTCTTCTCAGCTAGGAGTGACCAAGGTCCCAGTACTGAAACGCTTCCCGTAAAATGTTTTATTTGTCGGTATCATATACCTTAATTATCACCTCAAGTGTTTTCTGGAACGTTACCTACTGAAGCTCAGGCAACAGTAACACTGCACCACCCTGTCCTCTGTGACACACCCTCACAACTGATACAATCACAGTGATGAAACGCAGCCATCATCCTGATACCTCAGTCTAACTGAGAACACATGGCGAGCCAGTCAAGAATTCAAGGTCTGCCTAGGTTGCTACCTAGTAAACTCTTAAACAAAACATAATTTTGTCCAGCTTTACTTAGATGTCTCTACCTAGATTCTTTCTTCTTTTTAAATATGTATATCACACATACCTGCCAAGTTTTGTTGGTTTGTTTGTATAACTGTGCCAGTGAAAGCTGTTACAACTAAAAATAATCACAGGTTTCCTTTTACCCAGCTGCTGGTTTTAGGCTAGATTTAAAAAAAAAAAAGCCCAATTTAAATTGTTCCCATTATATTTGAAACCATAACTTAAGATAGATACACCCGTCTTCTGATACGGTGGGTGCCGGAGGAATGAGACCCCCACATCTGCCTTATAACAAGTACAGAGAATGTAAGACCCACATACCTGCCTCCTGACAGTGGGTGCAGGGATTCAAGACCCCCACGTCTGCCTCCTGACAAGGCAGGTGCGGGGATGTGAGTCCCATGTATCCGCCTTGTCCGGTGGGATCAAGAGCCCTTCACCAAAGCCTCAAAATCACCTTCCTGTCGCTTACAGGGCGTGGGGTCATTAGTACCACACTACACAAGGCATCTTTATTACAGCAGCTACACCTGGATTACCTCAGTCGCTCCCCGCTGTTGCTGTCTCCTTGTGAGTCACCTCAAGCTCTCTCCAACTGCTACTTATTATCATACACCTCTCAGTGTACATACACTGAGAGATGCACATCTCTCAGTATATGTACACTGAAAGTTTCCTCTAACCTTTAGGCTAAAGAATAAGGCATCCTTGGCGGTTGGTGAAAATGTTGCATGCAGCCTTAATGGGCACGTCTTCTAATATGTTCATTTTTCCACTATAATCCACCTTGTCCATAATTATTATCGCATTTGCTTTGTCTGTTTCGTAAGGTGAAGTCCAGGATCTTTCCTTAATTCATGATATAACTTAACAAATCTTTGAGAACAATTGTGTTGCAGAAGTCTGAGCAAAGCTGAGACAATAATTTACTATCGTGGATGCGATAGTAAATTATGGACAAGGTAGATTATAGTGGAAAAATGAACATGTTATCAGATGAAGGGGGAACTTACGTGCTTCTTAATGACCCTCGTGGATAGACTTTAAACTAGCTAGTACAGTAACGCACTGTGTGTTGTGTCGCAATGGTGTAAGTTACCTAATTTGTTTAAAATCCTACGCAGGAGCGCGCTCTAGGGAGTTAATGATCATATGTAGCACCTCCTCAGATCTGAAAACTTCTACTTAAATGAACGTTTGGTCCTAAATCTACCTCGCAGGACACCTAATATGGGTCACAGCACATTGATGGGGAATTAGAGGAAATGATGTTTAAAGAAAGGGTGGCTCCAGTTCTTCAGATCAAGAGCTCTTCATCAACATCGAGGTAGCCCACCTTCGAAGGACTACACCAGCTTAGAGATGTGAATAGGCTTGACGTATAAGTAGGCTTCCTGAAGTCTTTTGCAGCTACAAGAATCCTAACACCTGCTGCCCCTGCTCACCTAGAAATAAGTGGGTACCTAGGTGTTAGGCGACTGTTGTGTACCTAAGTGAGGACCTAAGGACGCCAGCGG